CATAATGACACAAGATAGAGTATTGAATAATCAGAAAAATTTAATTCTTCATAGAAGAAGAAATAGTTAAGTAATGTGATGCAGAAAGATTCAAATTAAGGGCCATTTTCATCTCAAGAATTTTTAGAAGGAATTGAACACATTTGAAGTTCATAACATACATGTTAGCATAAAAATAAAAATGATGAAGAGAAGATCAATGATTTTCTCACTTCAAATGCATCATTTATTACATAATGCAATGAAAAAATAATTTTACTTAAAAAAAAAAACAATATGCTTTACAAATGATTAAAGAATTAACTTTATTTTTCACTCAACTAGATCATAAATACTAGTTTATATTATTCATGGGGTTGTTGTTGAATATGCTTGAAAGCTGAGACCGAAGCCTTTGTAAACTTGAATCATATGTTCTGTAACCATGCGGTTGTTGTTGATGCATCAGATGCCTTCTAATATCTTTGTCAAGCCGGTTGCCCACATTTCTCGTGCCAACTACATTACCATAATGACACAAGATAGAGTATTGAATAATCAGACACATTTAATTCTTCATAGAAGAAGAAAATAGTTAATTTTTTTTCTTAATAAAGTAATGGGATGCAGAAAGATTCAAATTAAGGGCCATTTTCATCTCAAGAATTTTTAGAAGGAATTGAACACATTTGAATTTCATAACATACATGTTAGCATAAAAATAAAAATGATGAAGAGAAGATCAATGATTTTCTCACTTCAAATGGATCATTTATTACATAATATAATGACAAAAAAATTTTGCTTAAAAAAAAAACAATATGCTTTACAAATGATTAAGGAACTAACTTTATTTTTCGCTTAACTAGATCATAAATACTAGTTTATATTATTCATGGGGTTGTTGTTGAATATGCTTGAAAGCTGAGACCAAAGCCTTTTTAAACTTGAATCATAAGTTCTGTAACCATGCGGTTGTTGTTGATGCATCCGATGCCTTCTAATATCTTCGTCAAGCTGGTTGCTCACATTTCTCGTGTCAACTACATTGGAATGGGCTGAAAATTTATTAATATATTAACAGAAAAAATGTAACAATAATATTGAAAAGTATGGTATCAGACATACCATCATCGAAGAATTCTTCACCTCTCGCGTTTAAGTTTATAGTGGAGGTGGCATGTATAGTTTTATGTGAAAGATCCTCTAAATTGAATGGGGAGAAGAGAAATAACCAAAGCTTAGTACATCCACATTTTGAGGCTTTTGAGAAATTGTCTATCTCCTCCATCATATTATTAAAATCCTCAATAGAGTCAACCGAGACAAGAGTGTTGAGGCTTTCATCAGGAAGTTGGTAGCAGATATGAACAGGACCGCCATAGATATCCTGCAACTTGCAATAAAAATCGTGAATGGTGATATCACGACGGATGGCAATAATACGTGATTGTCCGCCAACATAACGTAGATTTTCTTCACTACGTTGGGGCATAAACTTTCCGCCAAAGCTACAGAGGAGTTTCACCTTTCCAAGTTGGTTGCCCACATTTCTCGCGTCAACAACATTGGAATAGGCTGGAAATTTCTGTTGCTCCAACGCTGAAATATCATCATTCCCTATAAAATAATTTATTAATATATTAAGAGAACATATGTAACAATAATAGTGAAAAGTATAGTATCAGACATACCTTCATTGATGAATTCTTCACCTCTCGCATTTAAGCTTACAGTGGAGGTGGCATGTATAGTACCGACTTTCAAATTCCTCCCATTGACATTTGCCTCAGAAGCGAATGCTTTATTGGTTGCGTCAATATAACTCAGCTCGCAATCATTATAAACTGCGCTATTGAATCTACCTGAAACATCCTCTAGATCGTATGGGGAGAAGAGAAATAACCAAAGCTTAGTACATCCATATTTTGAAGCTTTTGAGAGATAGTCTATCTCCTCCATCATATTCTCAAAATCGTCAATAGAGTAAACAGAGACAAGAGTGTCGAGGCTTTCATTAGGAAGTTGGTAGCAGATGCGAACATGACCGTCATATATATCCTGCATCTTGCAATAAAAATCGTGAATGGTGGTATCACGACGGATGGCAATAATACGTGATTCTCCGCCAACGTAACATTTATTTCCGTTACTACGTTGGGGCATAAACTTGCCGCCGAAACTGCAGAGGAGTTTCACCTTGGGTGTTGTTTGGTCTTTACCGGCGTTTTGCGTGAGCGGAACGGTAGAAACAAGGGAATTACGGTTGAAGTTCAAGAAGTTGTTCAAAGATTCAGGATAGAAATTCTTCTTGATTTCCATCCTTCTTGGTTTTTTGGAAGTGGGTAGATTTAGAAAAGTGTAGAAAAGTGAGATGAAGAGATGGGGAATTTTAATGGAGGACGGCTGAAGCAGATGCGGTGGCAGTGAACATTCTTGAAAGTATTTGGAGAAGAAAAAGCTGCAAAGTGGTTTCGGACTGAAACAGATTACAGGAGAAGTGATACGAGGTAGAAGAAAAGCAGAGCAGAAGCTATAGTTTTTTCCGGATTGGAGAAGCCCATCTCTCAACTAATGGTTTCGGACTCGAACTGACTAAAGGAGAAGTGATGGGAGGTAGAAGACGAAGTGCAGGAGTGTGGATTTTAAATCTTTACTTGAAACTTATAAATTAGTTCTCCGTCCGCTCGGCTCGCCCTCCGCAGCGCCAACCTCCCGCCAATAACGAACGAATTCTGCTCACTGTGTGCGGATTCTTTGAAATATTAAATAAAAAATATAAAAACTTTGACGAAGAAATTCGTATATTAAGTGGAACACTAGTGTTTTGTCTATTGGGGCCACTGATCTTCCTTGAGAAACTCCTCCAACACCAGAATGATTTGCTTCATACATAAATTAGCCAAATAGAATTTGGAGACTTCACTTACCAAATGAGATTGATTTCATAATCATTTTGTTCTGTTCATTTCTCACTCAGCTCATCTAATTGATAATCAAACTAATATTTAGCTAACTCGTGGCTCTTTTCTTACTGTTTTGAACTTTTATAGGTTCTTTTGTGTGGCTATGTTTTAGTGGTCATATTGGAGTTCTACGAGTGTCTTTACCAAGCCTCAAACACTTGAAGATTGAATCAACATGGTATATGAGCTTGTGCTAATACTACAAGTACAATCTAATCAAAGAGCAATGTTTTTCACAAGAAACATAATATATAAAAGGATTATCTTTTAAAAGAAGAAATGAGCCAATATCCCTTAAAGAGGATTACTGTATTTCTCAATCATAACTCTGAAAAAAAAAATTTAACGAGTCTACAATTTAGAGAGAGAGTAAAATAGGAGAAAAATTTTAATAATCTTATATTATTATACAAAACATTCATAATATTAAAAATGGGTTGATTCATATGATTGTGAGAAGCACCCAACAAGCAAAAAAAGCTTGATTCTATGACTTCAATGAAAAAAATTTTTGTAGGTCATTTGGGTATTATTATTTAGAGTTTCAACATATATTGAAAAATTTTTCTGGATTTTGCTTTCTAAAAAACATAAAAGTGTTTGAGATATAAAAAATGATGTGCTAGAAATTTTGCGTCTGTAGAGTAATGAATTATCGTCTTAGCGTTGCACAAGAACTCAGCATACACAGATAAAAGAAGAGAAATAAGCAGGAGGAGACACATCAACATTTTAAGTGGAAAACCTTTTAAAGGGGTAAAAACCACGAGGCTTAGCCCAGCTGAAATAATCCACTATGAATGATGAGTACAAAGATTCATTTTTTCCCTAAATTAAGATAGAATTACAAAGTTGCATAACTATAATCTGACTGTAGTTCTTTGCGACAACACGTTGCAAGGGTCATTGTTGATTGTTGTGGATGAGTGTTGTAGATGGTTGCTTCAGAGGAGTTGATTGGCTAGAAAAGCCATAAAAAGCAGTTGCGGGAGCTGTCGACCACATAAGTCGTAATTAGTTATGTAAACAGTAGTGGTGAGTAGTGGCGTCGTCCATAGACCGTGGGGATCAGAGTCGGGAACTGCACGAGCTGTGGACCACGTGGGTCGTAGAGATGAGTATAAGTGATGTCCATAGGCTGCGGGTCCCTGAGTCGGGAGCTGCACAAGCTGTGAACCACGTAGGTCGTTGTTGACACATGAACTACAGTAATGAGCTCTAATCCCAAGGCGATGACTGACGAAGTCTGGTTGGTGGTGATCGACGATGATTGGTGGTGATCGATGGTGATGGTCGACAGTGGCTGACGACAATCTACGGGAGTCGACGACGGTTGGCGATCGTCGATGGCGATCGACGGTGGTCGACAACTCGACAGTGGTCGGGATGATGCTGGACTTCAACTCCTTCTCAAAGTTTCCAGTTTTCTCTGAAGCTTCATGTCCCTTCTCTCATGTGAGGGGTGGAGCTATATTTATAATGTTCTGGGTGTCATTAATGCACGAATAAAAATTATTTTTATCAGACGGCCCGGAGAGCTCCCTCCGATCAAATAGTGTTTAATGGACATTTGAGTGCCTTAACGATGTCAGAATTGAGAAATCTTGGGCTCGTTGGATTCGTCTTGTTGAGACACTCAATTTGAGTATGAGCTCGCCTGATTCAACATCCGTTTGACATTTCAAATGTGTTTAGAAATCTTTCAAGAGTGGTTTATGTTGAGAATGTGGAGCCCAGTGCACTTCTTTATTGGGAAATCATTAGTGTTAATTATATGATTAATTAAATTCCTAAATAATGATTCCCGCTTTTCTGTGTTTCTCGCCACTCATTTTTCTCTCTCCGCGGAACTGCGCGGAATCGCGGGAAGGATGCTCTCCGCGTGGATCATTTAATGCATTCCCTTTGTGTTTTTTTCTCTTCATTATAAAAGCAAAAGCTAACTCCTTTAAGAATATCACCTCCAGACCCTCTCTCCTGCGGCTGAAGAAAAAGGAGCAAAGGACGAAAGGCTGGTTTTTTGGTTTCTCCTTTCTTCAGCTTTCTGGCAGGGAAAGAAAGTTTGCTTTTTTGTTTTGTCCTTTCTCAGGTGGCTTTAGAGAGAGGAGAGAGAGAGAAAGGCAAGGGAGAGAAAAGAAACTAGAAAGAATTATTTTCTTGTAATCGTCGAATCATAACGATGACGTAATTTCCTCGAAGCTAATAAAATCCTCTGCAGCTCCGTGGACGTAGGCAATTTGCCGAACCACGTAAATCTTGTGTCAAATTTTCTGGTGTAATTTTTTATCTATTTTTCGCTTTATTGCCGTCATTTTTCATAATAATTGGTATCAGAGCCCCGGTTCGGATCTGAGGAAGAACGATGGCTGGTGATGAAGTGAAGGTTTCAGGGATCGAGAAGTTCGACGGCACGGATTTTGGATACTGGAGGATGCAGATAGAGGATTGAAGAAACTTCATCTTTCGTTACTGGGAAAGCGACCGGAGATGATGGAAGAGACTGATTGGAATCTGTTGGATCGACAGATTCTGAGGGTTATTCGATTAACCCTTCGAGGTCCGTTGCTCACAAAGTCATAAAGGAGAGGACGACGACAGATCATATGACGGCCCTATCAAGTATGTATGAAAAGCCATCGATGAACAACAAGGTGCACTTGATGAAAAAGTTATTCAACCTGAAAAGGTGTGTCGGTTGTTCTACATTTGAATGATTTCAACACTATTACAAATCAATTATTGTCCGTTGAAATTGATTTTGATGATAAGATACGTGCACTGATATTGTTGGCTTCGTTGTCAAATAGATGGGAGATGGCAGAAGGTGTGTCGGTTGTTCAACATTTGAATGATTTCAACACTATTACAAATCAATTATTGTCCGTTGAAATTGATTTTGACGATGAGATACGTGCACTGATATTGTTGGCTTTGTTGCCAAATAGCTGGGAGGCCATGATGATGGCAGTTAGCAACTCTGCAGGTAAAACTAAACTGAAATTTGATGATATTCGTGACTTGATTCTTGCTGAAGAGGTGCACAAGAAAGATTCTGACGAGATCTCGGGTTCAAGTTCAGCACTGAACGTTGATTCCAGAGGGAGATCACAAGACAGAAACTCAAACAGAGGAATGTCGAAATCAAAGCATAGAAGCAAGAGCAAGTCAAAACCTGGTCAACAAGCAACCTGCTGGAATTGTGGCAAAACTGGCCATATAAAAAGGAACTGTAAAAATCCTAAGAAGACGGAAAATGTTAGTGCTAACGCTGTAACTGAAGAAGTGCAGGATGCGCTATTGCTTGCAGTTCATAACTCTGTTGACGACTGGATACTAGACTCGGGGGCTTCTTTTCACACATCCTCTCACCGGGAGTTAATGAGAAACTATGTTTTAGGTGACTTTGGGAAAGTGTACCTGGCTGATGGAGCAGCTTTGAACGTGGTGGGGATGGGAGATGTTGAAATTACACTCTCTAACAAAAACAAATGGATCCTGCAAAAGGTTAGACACATTCCTGAACTGAAAAAGAACCTCATATCTGTTGGGCAGCTTGATGAGGGAGGTCATTCAGTAGTGTTCTCTGATAACACCTGGAAGGTTACTAAAGGAGCACTGGTACTGGCTCGCGGTAAGAAGACTAATACGCTTTATATGGAAACTGGTCTAATTAATAATGTTGACACCACAGTTGCAGAGAACACAGCAGACATGTGGCATTGCAGACTTTGACATATGAGTCAGAAAGGTATGAAAGAGCTTCAGTCCAGAGGCAAGTTACCAGAACTGAAGTCTGTTGATTTTGGCATGTGTATGGGTTTATTTTCTGAAACATAAATCTGATGTATTTTCTGTGTTCAAAACTTGGAAGGCCATGGTTGAAACGGAGACAGATCTAAAACTGAAATGTTTGAGATCTGACAATGGTGGTGAATACATTGATGGTGGATTCAAGGAGTACTGTGCAACTCAAGGTATCAAAATGGAGAAGACCATCCCGGGGACACCACCACAAAATGGAGTTGCAGAACGCATGAACAGGACCATCAATGAGCGTGCTAGGAGCATGAGATTGCACGCAGGACTACCACCAACCTTCTGGGCAGATGCGGTCAGCACAGCAGTTTACCTAATCAACAGAGGGCCATCTGTCCCATTAGACTGTAAATTACCTGAGGAGGTCTGGAGCGGCAAAGAGGTCAAATTTTCTCATCTTAAAACTTTTGGTTGTCTTTCTTATGTGCTAATCAATCCTGATGTACGTAGCAAGCTTGATGCTAAGTCAAAGAAATGTTATTTTATTGGTTATGGAGACGAAACATTTGGTTATCGTTTCTGGGATGATCAGGATCAGAAGATTATCAGAAGCAGAAATGTGATTTTCAATGAGAAGATGATGTACAAGGACAAGGCCAATACAAATTCTGGAGTAGCTCCTCGGAAGTCCGAGTTCGTGGAATTCGATGATCTACCAGAGGACACAGGGCAAGATGAACATGAGAATGAGGAGGAGAATGGGTCCGGGGCACCCATTCCTATTATTCCGCAGACAGGTCCAGAGTCATTTACTACTCCAGTCACCGTTCGTAGGTCAGTCAGGAGCAGACATTCACCACAGCGTTACTCACCAACTTTAAACTACATCTTGCTGACAGAC